TTTTTGGTGCCGGACATCGAACTTGGGACCTTCTACTTGCTAGGCAGGCGGTGGCACCACTGAGCTAAATCCCCAACCCTGGAAAGTACAAGTCACCATATTAGAAAAACATGTTTCCAGATGGGCACTCTTAGTATAATAAACTAAAAGAAATATTAATCACTTGATTAATATTAATCAATATTAATATTTTTATTAATAAAATTTTAGAATATTTTCTTTCTTTCTCTCCTTTCCTTTATTTCCTCCGTAGGAAAATTTATTTTTTATTGCTTATATCTTACTAAAAGTTGGACATGTTTGGTAGACAATACAGGAGCACATCAAAATCAGAGGGTGAAAGCAGCCTGTTCAGAATCATGGAGGGGAGTGTGTGAGAGTGTGCTGCAGTTTGGGGAGGTATGAAGAAACCATCCAAGAATCTTCAGTTTAAAAGAGAAATGGTTACGTTCATGATTTTAAGAGGTTCTTTTGGACTTCTTAGTTCCTAAGCATAGTGGTGTCCACTTAACTTTTTTTATGTCTTCACAGCCTTTCAACGACAGGCCAATGATGAGAGATAAGGTTATCCGTAGCTTATGTATGTCAATAAATATGGGACAGAAAATACTGCACTCTTCAGTTTCCAGGGATGGGGTTGGGGGAAATCCAAAACAGCACAGTGAGCTCCAGAGCCAGGATAGTGCCAGTGAAATGATACTGCCCCCAGGACACTGATGTTATTGAGGTTTTGCTTTCAGAAGAGAAAGGACTCCTGAAGGACATTATGAGTCTTGTGTACAGATTTGATGAATGCATCTATATGATGGAGAAGTGATTTTGGAAAAAGCACAAGTCAGAATTTACCAATTAGGGAACATATAGGGGAAAGGGGACATTGATAAATGATTGGTGCCTCTAAGAAGTGTGGTGAGGAAGAAAAAGATGAAATTAACCTTTCTGAAATAAGTCAGTTAGATTCAGAAGAGCCACCTTATCCCCAGCCTCAAAGGGCAACACTATAATTCATTGAAGATGTAGAGCTTCACTATATAGTAGAAAATATTCCTGACAGCAGATTCCAGCTCCAGCCCTTGGAATAGAATCCCCTAGAAGGGATCCACATACCGATTAACATACTAAAACATAAGTGCTAGGAATCATAACTTTTCTGTTAGTAAAAATCTTCCTAAAGCAAGCAAAGAAAAAACTTCAAGGCCGAGGAATGCTGGAACAACGCAACAGACCTCATTTAAATACTTAACAGTTGTGGATAGGAAAGAACACAATAAATCTGTGATTAAAATATCAAAAATAGAAAATGTTAATGAGTGCTAAGTGCTAAGGAAATTATAGAACATGAATATCTGAGAAATGAAGACTGTGTGACAGAATACATGAGGCATGACATGGGGGGAAGATGGAACCATATACAGTAAGTATTGTAATGGAAAGGAAATAAGATGAAAGATGAGAAAAGGATCAGAATTTCAAAGACCAGCAAAAAACGATCATTAGTCTTAAAACAATTTTGAAATATTATAGTTTGAGTAAACAATATCATATATAAGAATATTTTAATCTACATGATTTATAGGGCCCTGAGAATACATCGAGATATGTAGCTATTCAGTATTTTAAATGTAAAAATGAAAAAATCTTTTGGTCTTCCAACCAGCTAGCCCACCTCATTTTTTTTTTTTTTTTTTGGTACCGGGGATCGAACTTGGGTCCTTGCACTTGTGAGGCAGGCGCTGGAACCACTGAGCTAAATCCCCGGCCCAGGGCACCTCACTTCTACTGGGAGGAAATAAGGTTGACTCCAAACTCTCAGCCTACAAAGCAAGGTGAGAACAGAGGAGAATGTTCAAGAGCCTCAGGGAAGACATTACAAGCCAAAGATTCTCCTCCATTCAGTTTTTCTTTCCAGTATCAGGGCTATGAAGAGCCAGATTTAAACATGTAGAATTCAAGGGATAACTCACTTATGAGCCTTTCAGCTTTACTCAGTCAATAGATAAAATAGAGACTTTGGGGGAGATTTTATGGTGAATACTGAGGGTCCTGATATATCTAAGAATAAAGCAAAAGTAGAAATAGGAGAGAATATGTGAATTTTAGGTGTTCCCCAAAGCAATAATGAGCTAAAAAGTACGACGAGGAGGAGAGAAGAAAATAGAAGACGCTCACGAGTTAGTAAAGGGCAGAGTAAGAGACTTTGTTTATAGCTGATGAGCTCAACAGAAGGATAAGTAATGATGGAAGGACCGAGTTGAGCCACTGGTCGAAAGGTGATGACTAAAAGTATAAACCTTACTAAAAATTACCAAAATGATTTTTTGAACATTAAATAAAGAGTTGATCAGTTCATACAGTTTATTTCTACCCAATTGGAAAGAAAGTCAAAAATAAAAGATTAGACAATGATACTAAGTACAAATGAAGAGGAAGCAGGACTTGCAAAATGGAATACAGGTAGCATTAGAATGAGGCAAATACAGATAGTGTAAGAATTGTAGAGTCTCGAATAGACTTTAAAATCTATTTTGAGTTCCAAGTTGATCAGGTAGACAGGTAAGGAAAGGAGTAGAAGTTAGGTCTAAGTAGCCTAATTAATAAATCATATTCCTTTGTTACTGTTTTTTTTTAAATTTTATTTTATTGGTACATTTTAGGTATACAATATAATGATATTCATCATTGGAAATTTGCACCTTTACATAATCTCTCCTGGTTCTTATTTTTCCCCATTCCCCTGGCCTTCCTTCAACCCCTCCATCCCTCCTTATTTACAAAGACTTTGTTTCCATTTTTTCTTTTTCTCATATTAATTCCATTCCCTTCTTTCCTTTCCCCT